AATGACGGTTATATTGTTGTAACTGATAATATTAACAGCAAAAATTTTGAAAATTACGTGAGTACCAAGTAAGTACCAGGTTCAATTTCTCATTTAAATTGTTAGAGTCAATTTCAATTTTAAATAATTCAGCATTGCCAACTTAATCTTAATACTACAGACTCAAAATTTGTATATTTTACAAAAAAATTTCAGATTTTACGAAAAATTAGACACCTGTGGCGCCATCGAACATATCAGAACTCACAAAAGTGTTTACATTAATGAAATATCACGCATTTTCCTCCACTCACAGTTATTTTGCCCAAAAATAAAATTTGTCCGAAAGTGGGGGAGTCGATTTGGTTTTAGTCAAGTTGGCAAGACTGTTATGGGATGGCCATTTAAAATCGGGACTCCTTTTGTTAAAATAATTGACGACAAGTTGAAACACATCACTTCTGGTAAAGTTTGAGTTTTTTGGAAAAATATTGAAAAAGAAATTTTTTTAGGAGGGCATTTGGAACAGTGGAGACGCCAAATGGTACTCACAGTTCGCAAAAACCGACCTTGGAAAAAATTCGAAAGAGAGTCTTTAAGTTTGACGTCTTACAGCGTCCATTTTGTCTTATATCTTATCTGTGTTGGTGTTTCAACCACTGTTTTTTTGATCGAAGTTTGCATAAAATTGATCAAAAATAAATAAAACTACTTCAAATTCCAAACTTTATTTTCCTTTTTTACAATAAACAACCTCACACACAAAAACAATCATAGCAATAAGACAACCAACCCCCCAAATGTAAAAAATCAATTTCAAACTCTTGAAATCAAGTTCGCCGCTGGTTTTTTTCTCTTCAACGACCCCAGAAGTTGAATCCTCAAATCGAGTCCTTAAAATTTCTTTTTCCCATTTTCTGATAATCCCTGAACTTAAAATCCGATCAATTAAAGATTTAATTCTTTGATAAAATTGTAATCCTTTTCTCATCATGATAGTAGTAGGATATGTCACTACTGAATTTTTAAAACAATAAATAAGCGGGTCATTATTTGATGTTTTGTAACGATTTATTATATATTTAGTGACGGGTTTTGGAGCACAAACCACAACATTTCGGTTAAATGCCACTAAATCGAGACATTTGCGCATATTTCGACAATATTTATATTTTTTCAAAATGGCGGCGTTGGTACGACTTGTGGTACTATCAGTACCATCACTTTCAAAATACCTAGACGATAACCCATAAATGTCCCAACCACGATCTATTATATCCTCAATGGTACTAATCTCTTGTTTGGTACTACCATCAGCTAGAGCACTAGTTAGTAACGTCTGATAGGCTGTAACTATATAGAAACTACAAATAATCAACATGGCGATGAAAAACCTAACTTTGGTACTTCTAGGTTGTCGATTGACCGGCAAACCTAGCAAAACTCGGTAGGTTTCAACGGCACACGTGTCAATTTTTTGGTAATGGGTGTAATCATGACTACTCACCAACCATGACATTGTCGTTACCACAAGGAACAAAAAAAGGGTCAGTACCAACGCTCCAAAACTCATAATCTCGCCCAAACTTGTCAATTTTGAGTCAAGTGTGTTAAATGGGACACAAAATACTAACTTTTCATGGTGGTGGTACGAAACATCGTCAAAAAAATAAGATCGTTTTAGGGTTTTGGCATAATCACCAATGGCAATATCGTCGATTTCATGGTACAAGTACTTTAAATTTCCAGTAATGGTACCATTGTCAAAAACATCGCCCCAGTTTTCTGGTACTTGGTCATGGTGGTAGAACATGCGGATGTTTGCAAATTCGGCAATTAAATCAAGGAGACTGATTTCGGTACCACGGGAACCACGTGGAGGACCACTCCAGGAACCATTTGGTATGTTTATAACAAATGGTGGCCATTGGACTATGCGTACTCTTATGGTACATTGATTGAACAGGTCGGGGATTTTGGGAGGGTACCAATTGACAAATTTGGTACTCCGACCAAAGGAGCAAGAGTCGATTAATTTAATTTGACTGAAGTTGGTGCCACAGTTACCGTCGCTGTAGGGGAACCACGTGTAGGCATTAAAGATAGTTGGGTTCTTATGGTCAGGCAGAAGTACCACTCCATTGACCACATGAACCTCCCACAACTTTTCCACAATCCCACTTGCGACTTTTCGGGGCTTTTCAAAGGTTGTAAGTGTGATTACCAAAAATTTGGCCCAAGGGTTCCAATTTTGGTACCCTCGCAAAATATTGATACTCTCACCAAATTCGAGCTCATTCCACATCTGAATGATGTAAAATGTAGGTTTGTGGTCAATTTTTCGTTCCTGTAGTGAGACATTTTTGATGACTATTGACCAGAAAGAGTCTTGAGTCAATTGGGGCAAAAGTAGGCGATCCAGAACCACCACTGATGACCGATTTGACACTTCACTCAAAGGTAGAAAGTAAAAAATTGTTTTGCCTTTTTCGAAAAAGTGTTCAGCTGCGCTATAAACACACTGAGTGAGAGATTGAAGAATGAGTTTTTCTTCATTGAAAAAAGGAGGAATCTTTAAAGAAGTTGGTGAGATAAAGAAAAGAAAGATTATGATTGTTGGGGACATTGTTAGAAAGTAATGTATAGGGTGTGACAATCGACCGTTGATTTCATTAATTAAAAAGAAATAAAATTAGGTTTATTAAATGTTGTGCATAATGTATAACAATTTTTTTGATTGAAAAATTAGAAATTCTAAGCAACTATCACTTTTACTACTCATCTAAATTAAAAAAAATAATGTATTACTATTTTTTTGTTATGGATTTGTCATAATTGCTGTAATTAGTAGCACGCAAAATTTTTTTCTTCAAACAGTGTAATAATTGAAAAAAAAAAACAAAAAACCCGTATTTTGCTAAAGCATTAACTCTAGAACCGTAAATAATTTACTAAAAGTTAGTTTTTTGTTTTAAAATTTAAAAAAAACAACGTATAGAAAACCGCAAAAAAACATTTTTTGTTAAAGGTGTTTTTATGTTAAAAAACAAAGAAAACAGTTTAATATATTTTTTTTTTTTTTGAAACAAGAGTCAAGTTTTGCAACCCATCTACAATAAATAATTTCACAAAAAAATGCTATCAAATTAGCAAAGCACCTAATCTCCACAACATAAAAAATCAATTTCAAACTGTCAAAATCAAGTTCGTCGCTAGATTCCCCCTCTTCGAGTACCTCAGCAGAAAAATTTACAAATCGTGTACTTAAAATATCTCTTTCCCACTTTTGTATAATCCCGGAACCAAGAATTCGGTTGACCAAAGTCTTAATTCTGTGATAAAATTGCAACCCTTTTCTCGTCATGATAGTAAGAGGATATGTTACTAAAGTTTTCTCGAAACAATAAATCAGTCGGTCATTATTTGAGGTCTTGTAACTGTTTAAAATAAATTCGGTAAAGAGTTTTGGGCTACAAGTGGCAACATCTCGGTTAAATGCCACTAAATCGTGACATTTGCGCATATTTTGACAATTTTTCCAGTTTTTCAAGATGGCGGCGTTGGTACGACTTGTGGCACTACCAGTACCATCACTATTAAAGTACATCGTGGTTGTTTTAATCCCGTAAATTACGAAACCACGAGCTAGGATTTCGCCAATGGTACTAATTTCCTGTTTGGTACTAACATTAGCTAATGCACTGACTAATAACGTCTGATAAAAAAATGGTTTTGGCATAAGCACCAATGGTATATCGTCGATTTCTTGGTATAAATACAAGTTTCCAGTGATAGTACCATTGTCATAAATATCGCCCCAGTTGGATGGTACTTGATCATAGGGGAAGAACATACGAACGTTTGCAAATTCCGCAATTAAATCTAGGAGACTGATTTCAATACCATGCAAACTACGTGGGGGACCACTCCAGGAACCATTTGGTACGTTTATAACAAATGGTGGCCATTGAATCATACGTACTCTAACGATACATTGATTAAACCGGTCGGGAATTTTGGAAGGTTGCCAATTGACAAGTTTGATACTACGACCAAAGGAGCAAGAGTCGATTAATTTTATTGGGCTGAAGTTGGTACCACAGTTACCGTCACTGAAGGGGACCCATGTGTAGACATTGAATATAGTTGGGTTCTTATGGTCAGGCAGGAGTGCCACTCCGTTGACCACATGGACCTCCCACAACTTTTTCACAATCCCACTTGCGACATTTCGGGGTTTATCAAAGGTTGTAAGTGTGATTACCAAAGATTTGGCCCAAGGGTTCCAGTTTTGGTTCTTTCGCAAAATATTGATATTTTTACCAAACTCGCTCTCATTCCACATTTGAATGATGTAACGAGGGCAAAGCCAAAATTACCCGGCCTGACTATGAAAAATTCAAACTACAGTAACATGTTTTTTTTTATTTTTCAATGTAGTCTCCGTTAACTTCAATATACTTATTACATTATTAATTATTACATGGCTTAATTAATAATTCAATCCCTTTAAAAAAATATTCTTTTGGTTTTTCTTCAAAATGATCCAGCACAGCTGCTTGCAACTCAAATTCGTCACTAAAACGTCGACCACGAAGGTCCTTTTTCAAATATCCAATAAATAATAATGCTTGGAGCCATATCTGGACTATATGGGGGGTGATCTATCTGTTGGAACCCACAATCCAAGATGGCAGCTTGTGTAACACCAGCAGTATGAACGCGCGCATTATCGTGCAGCAACCGCACACCTCTGGTCAGTTTTCCTCGACGTTTTTCGCGAATATTGTCTGGAAGTTTGTGAAGTAATATGCATAATACATGCCGTTAACGGTGGTATTAGTTTCTTTAAAATCTATTAAAAGTATCTCTTCACAATCCCAAAAGATCGTGGCCATCACTTTTTTTGTTGATTGGCAGACTCTAAATTTTCTTGGGGGTGCCTCACCTTTACGACGCCATTCCATTGATTCTCTTTTGATAGAGGGTCATAATAAAGGACCATAGTTTCATCTCCGGTTTCAATCGTTTCCAATATAGGGTTTGGGCACCACACAGTTCCAAAAATGATCGAGCACACTCCACACGACGTTGTTTTTGAAGCGCTGAAAGGTGTTTGAGAACCCATCTTGCACTGACTTTATGCATTCCCAAATGGTCATGCAGGATTCGGCGAACACTTGTATCAGAAACTTTGGTCATTTCTGATATTTCTTTGACCTTCAAACGTCGGTCACTTAATACCAGTTTTTCCACAAGGGCAACTTTGTCTTCGGTTATCACCTCTACTGGCCGACCAGGTCTTGCGTCATCTTCTAGGGATTCCTGTCCCATACGAAAACGTTTTGCCATTTCTTTCACCACAGAATAGGACGGAGAACTTTGGCCGTATACGCCGTCGAGTCTGTCTTTAATAATTTTAGGTGAAAGCCCTTCTTTGGTTAAGAATTTTATGACTGCTCTGTACTCAATTTGGTTCACTTGAGACATTTTTGTAAACGCATCTTATTCAAAATGCTTACAATTGACAACTATTTGACTTAAGAGATCATTTTTTTTCTACAGCTTTCTATGTTATGTGCTTATAAGAAGACAAAATTTTATCCCGATAAAACATCGGCATATACAGGGTGATTCTTAAATAGACCGACAAAATTTTATCCTTGGTAGTATAAAATAAGAACATGCTGGAAAAAATATTTAAAAAATTCTTTGTTTAAACGTTCTTCAAATAAAATTTATTAAAGTTATTTTGGAAGTAAAACGTACGCCACTGATGTTTTCGCACAGATAGTGGAAACCATGGTATTAACGTACTTGATCATTGCAACAATTCATAAACGCCGTAAGTGGCACGGATCAAGGGGGTTTTGCCCCTAAAAGGTATAAACGTAAAAATGGTACAGTTTGTATCCATTTATCCTTAGGAAGCTGTGATAAAATTTTGTCGGTCTATATAAGAATCAGGCCGGGAATTTCTGGCGCTTACCTCGTAAAATGTGGGTTTGTGGTCAAATTTGGATTCCGGTAGTGAACCAATTTTGATGACTAGTGACCAGAAAGAATCTTGAGTCAATTGGGGCAAAAGTAGGCGATCACACACTGAGTGAGAGATTGAAGAGTGAATTTTTCTTCATTGAAGAAAGGAGAAATTAGGAAAGTTGGTGTGATGAAGAAAAAGATTATGATCGTTGGAGGCATCGTTAAAGAGTGGTGTGTGACAATCAAATGTCAATTTCAATAATTAAAAAGAAATAAAATTAGATTTTTTTGATGTTTTGCGTAATGTATAAGATTTTCTTGACTAAAAAATTAGAAATTCTAAGCAAGTATTACTTTTACTACTCATCTAAATTAAAAAAATAAATGTATTACTAATATTTTTTTGATTAGTAGCACGCAACGTTTTTTTCTTCAAACATTGTGATAATTAAAAAAATGTATTTTTTAAGCAACAAGTCTTAAACAGATACGATACAGCACAACAGCTTAAAAATTTACCAAAAATGAGTTTTGTTTTGTAATTAAAAAAAACATTTCTTGTTCAAGGCGTTGGTCAAACTTGTAAAAAAACAAATAAAAACAATTTGTAGTTTAATTTTATTTATTTTTTTTTAACAACGTTCAAGTTTTTCAACTAATCTACAATAAACAATTTCACAAAAAAATGCATTCAAAGCAGCAAAACAACCAATTCCCCAAGTATAAAAAATCAATTTCAAACTGTTGAGATCAAGTTCGCCGCTGGTTTTTTTCTATTCAAGGACTACTGAAGTGCAATTATCGAATCGCGTTCTTAAAATTTCTTTTTCCCATTTCCTGAACTAAAAATACGAGCGATTAGTATTTTAATTCTTTGATAAAATGGTAATCCTTTTCGCATCATGATAGTAGTAGGATATGTCCCTACTGAATTATTAAAACAATAAGCAAGTGGGACATTATTTGTATCTATTCAAAAGAAATTGACAAACAGATTTTGCAGCACAAATGACAGCATTTCGTTTAAATGCTACCAAATCAAAACATTTGCGCATATTTCTACAATATTTGCATTTTTTCCAAATGGCGGCGTTGGTACGATTCATGATACTGCCAATACCAGCACTTTCACAGAACCTAGACGATACTCCATAGATGTCCCAACCACGATCTAATATGTCCACAATGGTACTAATCTCCTGTTTAGTACTAACATTAGGTAAAGCACAACGCTTCAAAACCCATAATCTCGCCCAAACTTTCCAATTTCGAGTTAAATGTCTTAAATGAGACACAGAAAACTAACCCTTCGTGGTGATACAGTACATCATCGAAAAAAAGGATCGTTTCATGGTTTTACCACAAGCACCAATGGCAATATCGTCGATTTCTTGGTACAAGAACTTTAAGTTTCCAGTAATGGTACCATTGTCATAAATATCGCCCCAGTGGGATGGTACTTGATCATGGTGGTAAAACATCCGAAAGTTTGCAAATTCGGCAATTAAGTCTAGGTTGCTAATTTCAAGTCCACGGGTACCACTTCCACCGCTCCAAGAACCATTTGGTACGTTTATGATGCATGGTGGCCATTGAATCAAACGTACTTTGATGGTGCATTGATTAAACCGGTCGAGGATTTTTGGAGGATACCAATTGACAAGTTTGGTACTCTGACCAAAGGAGCAAGAGTCGATTAGTTTAATTTGGCTGAAGTTGGTACCACAGTTACCGTCACTGTAGGAGAAACACGTGTAGGCATTGAAGACAGTTGGGTTTTCATGGTTGGGCAGGAGTACCACTCCATTGACCACGTGGACCTCCCACAACTTTTTCACAATCCCACTTGCGACTTTTCGAGGTTTTTCAAAGGTTGTTAATGTGATTACCAAAAATTTGGCCCAAGGGTTCCAATTTTGGTACCCTCGCAAAATATATATGATATTCTCACCAAATTCGGTCTCATTCCACATCTGGATGATATAAAATGTGGGTTTGTAGTCAATGTTGGGTTCCTGTAGTAAAACATTTTTGACGATTAGTGACCAGAAAGAGTTTTGAGTCAACTGGGGCAAAAGTAGGCGATCCAGAACCACCACTGATGACCGATATGACACTTCATGCAAAGGTAGGGAGTAAAAAATCGTTTTGTATTTGTCAAAAAAACTTTCAACTGCGTTATAAACACACTGAGTGAAAGATTGACTGATGAGGTTTTCTTTAAGGAAGAAACGTGGGATGTGGCGGTGAGTTGGGGTAATGAAAAAAAGGAAGATTGTGATAGTTGGAGGCATTGTTGAGGAGTGATGAATGACAATGATGATATTGCGTATCAAATGTTTGTTTAATCGATTGGAGAGAAAGACATGGGTTTTAAATTAGGTTTATTTAATGTGGTAAGTAAACGTGCATAATATAGTACAGAAGTTGATTTTTTTGATAAACAAAAATTCAAAGTAGAAATGTTTTAGTTCAATTTGCTCACACAAAAAGTAAGAAATAAAACACTTCCCCCACCACTTACTCTGCGCGCGCAGTTTAGAAGGAGGGGGAAAAGTGTCATTACTACTACTCATCCAAGTTCAAGTTTTTGATTGATTTTTGAAATAAGTTAATTTCTGTTGTTTTGAAACTAAATTATTGATCATGTTTTCATGAAACTTCTTGTTTTGGTCAACAAGCCCGAATACGCTCTATTAGTGTGACGTCAGCAAGGTACGTGACTGTACCTTTGAAGCTAAACAAATAAAAGTTTATTTCTTGAATCCTGGACGTGTAGGGAGATTGTTTCTAAGGAAATAGTTGCTATGAAAAATGTGTGTCGTTTCGTAATGGTTTTAACAATTGTAGTCAACATTTCTGAAATTTAATCTGTTCTAACCTCACTTTCTGTGTACGTCAAAAATATGTGTACAGCATTGCCAGAATGTTGCAAACGACAGGAGTGGATAGGTCGTACCAAAACAAAACAAAATAAAAAATATTAACATTCACATAATGTGTATTTGGCTGAGAATATAAATTAGTATTGGTTTACAAGTAAATATAAATATCTAGTAAAAAAAATCTAGTATCAATTTGGTACTCTAGTATCACAACTGGCAACACTGTATGTTTAGCTTCAGTACAGTCGCGTCTGTGACGTCACCTCTAATAGCCCGTATTACAATGACAAAATCGAAAAAAACTGTGTTTTCTCATTTGTAACCAGTAAACACAAAACAAGAAAAATATCTTTATATTAAAAATAAAATATCGGTGCAACAACACTAAATTGATCAATTTATAACAAGATGAACGATTTTTGCCCAAAAACTGTTTCAATTGAGTGGAAAAATGAGACAAAATATCACAATTGGGTTGTTTTTACTCCATTTGGGTTACAAAACTAAAGAGAAAAACTTTGAATGTTTGATTGAGAAATTCAGCGAATTTTGGGAAACTGCAATTATCGACGCTTCCCAAAAATTTTTAAAATCCCATTGAGACAATTTTCACGAATCGTTATTTGTCATTTGTGACCTTAAATTCGTCCAAATTGTCACAATCTTTGCCCAAAAACAAAAAACAAGTCTTTGTTTTAGGTTTCAAGACTTTGGAGAAGTTAGAAAGTAGAATTGCAAAAAAAAATTTTGGAACCTACGATCTAAATTTTTGATTGTGACTAATGAAACTCTGATGGTAGATAAAATATTAAGACTATGGTCTTTCAACATTTACAAAATTGTGGTTTTTGAGGGTCAATTGTACTTGTGGTACCCTAACTACTACTTGTGATACAAGTTTGGGTCAGGGACACTTGAGCGGTACCATTCCACGTGTTTTCGTCCCTAACCCGTTAAAAGTCCAAGTTGTAGTTTTCGTTCCATGTGTTTTAACCCTCCATTATAGGTGTGACATTACCATAATCAACGAATTGGGAAAAATCCTCCAAACTAAGGTTCTGGTCACCCATAGTACCACTCCTTTCGATTTTGATACCAGTTACCCCAACCACACCGTAACCGGAAAGTTCGGCGAAGTGTACCACGAGAGAGTTGATTTAGCACTTGGTGGTTTCCTCCTCCAACCCGACCGTTTCACCCTCCTCGACTCCTCCTAGCCCTACTCCAACGAAATCTACTCTTGGTGTGTCCCCCAAGCCCGGAGGATCATCTCCTGGAGGCAAGTTTTCACCACTTTGCGCCCTCAAACCTGGCGTTTGATCTTAGAGGTGTTCCTCCAAGTAACTCTAATCACCCTCAAAATTGAAAATCGAGGTTTTCCCACTTGGATTTTCACTAATTTTGCCATTTTGCTTGGAATTTCGGTCAAAAAGCCACTTTGTCCTGTTCTGGACCTTAATTTGCCTCATTTTGACCATTATTTACCAAACTGAATTCATCAGTTTGATGCAGAGAAGAATTAAGGAGCTTCAAATCGACTCAATGGACGCTTTACATGCCTCAAACCTCGAAATCCAAATCAAACACTCGACTTACTCCCTTTTTGGGAACAGCAAGGCTTTGAAGAGGTTCCTCAAAGGCTACACCAAAAGCGAAAATCCGGTTAATTGCATCAAAAAAGTGGCTTTTGAGAGAAACGCAGCCATGTTCGCGTCGAATTCCTTCATCGGTTTTATCAAAAATCGACTACCTATTTGATGAGAAAAATCAACCCTTGATTCACTGTTTCGACGGGGGGATTAATTTCTCGCCCACTTTTCTCGCAATGAGACGTGATTTTATTTTGCGAGATTTCATCGATGAGATTTTAAGACGTTTTGTAGAAGCTGATTTGGTCGATTTTTGGAAAAGAGAAACTTTTCTTGAAAGAGAGTTTGTCGAAGATAGGGAGGAATTTAAAAGTTTAGATTTGAAATTTTTCGAAGCTCCTTTTCTTTGCTGGATTGTCGGGGTTGCTATTTCAGAGGGTGTTTTTGTAACGCAAATTTTGATACAAATTGTTACAAGATACGTGCGAGATACGGTTTCACCAAAGCGATAAATTGCGTGAGCTCTAATTAGTTTCATATTGACAAATTGAGCTGAAGTTTGTGAGAAAATACTGTAACAAAAGCTAATAATAAAAGCATCAAACGCACAAAATTCTGTTTGTTTGGTTTAGTTTAAGTTAATTACGTATTACAAAGAATGAAAATTATTTACTGAAACTGATGAAGATAATATTTGGGTCGTTTATTGCTTTTATATTTATTTCAATTTTTTATTTATTCTGTTCCTTATTATTTTATTTTTATATTATGTTAAATTTTTCACTACTTCTTTGTTATTCTTTACATTTCATTCTTTTTGATCCATTAATTCTTTTGTTTTGTTCCTTGTTCTTTTTAATTTGAGCTAAACACATATCTTTTAACTTATAAAAAGTTCTGAAACAAAAAAAAATTCATGTTTTGTTTGCTGTTTGTAGTTTTTACACACTTTATATAACAAAGGTCATTATTTCTTGTTTACCTTTTATTTCTTATTTTACTCTATTTTTATAGTATACATTTTTATGTTTTACATTTTTTGATTACTATTTTGTATTCATAATCATGAAGACATTGTGGCAACTATTGAGGAGTCTGCAGTTTCTTATGACATAGTCAAACATTGGTGTCGAGATTTTAAATGCGGAAGAACATCCTGTAAAACCAGCATGTCGGTGGTCCTCCCATAACGGTAACAACAGACAAAAACATTAAAAAGGTACACGATATCGTACTGCAAGACCGATGAGTACGCATCACAAACATTGTGGAAGATACTGGCTTATCATATCATGTGGTGCACCACATACTGAATAAAGAATTAGGTATGAAAAAGATGAGTGCAAAATGGGTGCCCCGAATGTGATCAAAAATGAAATCGGGTGTTTACTTGTAAGCGTCTTTTGGAAAAGTACCAAGCAAACAAAGAGAACTTTCTTAGTCGGTATGTGACACTAGAGGAGTCATGGGTGCACCACTATGATCCCAAACCAAAACTGCAAAGTAAAGAGTGGAAACAGAGGTCGGCGAAAACTTTTTCCAGGAACTGTTGAGATGTAGTTTGACTGTAAAGGGGTCAGGGGTGCAGCATAGGGATCCACCCTCGTAAATGCAGTTCCCACCTTCATTTTAAGCTGTTCTATTTACGAAATAATTCCCAATCCAAAGCAACCATTACGTGAGTCCGTTTCACTGCAAAATTTAGCATTTCTATTCCCAAAAATATTCTTCCATAAACAAATCTGGGAAAAATTCAAGGGTACCTGAACCTATGAAGTTACTTGATACCCCCAACGGATTCAAAAAATTAACATTTTTCAGCTTATTTTCTTACAAATGGAATCTTTTTTATTTATTTGACTTTATTTTAAAATATTGACAAGACTGTCAACGTAACTGACAGTCCTTCGCCTACCGTGGAGCCATCTAAGCGAATTAATTTTAAACACTTTACTTACTCCCACGGCCTCCTTGATAAAAAGATAGAGGCCGTGCTTACTTCCGATTTTGACCGCGTTTTTATACAGTGCGATCAAAAAGTCTTTCTATCAAGTAGGCGTCCTAGTTGAGGACGTATGTTGCATGGCAGTTCGTATGTTATCTAGATGTCAAAAAATTATTTTATAAAAATTAAAACATTGAGCTAATTAAATAGAATTATTCTATGAAACGTCTCAAAACAAACTAAAATAAGATTTTGTTGGTGTTAAAAATAGTTCACCATGGTTTCCTCTCATAATTTACATAAAATACATTTAGACATTTCATTTGTCATTGTGACATTTTATCTTCCACAGACATACGTTTTAAATTTCTACGCTTGCTTGATAGACAGACTTTTTGATCGCATTATAGCAAGGCCATCTGAATCAAAAAGCTACGTTTATGCTGAAAACGCTGATGAGAAGGCCATATTTTTGATGGATCTTATATCAAATTATAGTAAAAGAGTACCGAGATGGTCTGAAATATCAGTCAGAATGTGTACGGTATGGAGATTCCGTTCAACTAAAGGTTACCGATTTTGTCATAACAATTTAATGGAATTACCTTCGAAATCAACAATCTTGAGACATCTTGGAAAATTCAACGGTCAAAATAAATTAATCAAAGAACGCCTGTGTACCGAAGTATTTCAGTTTAGGCATCCTATTGAACGAATATCTTCTTTAGTAATTGATGACATGTCAATTAAAGAGAAAATGCACTACAGTCGTTCAGAATATTATGTGTATGGTTTAGATACCTGCAGTTCAGGAACGATTGGTGAAAAGCAGAAAATAGCCAGTAAAATGCTATGTTATGTTGTCCATGAATTGTCAACTCAGTTCACAATTCCAGCTGGATACTTTTTCCACGCAACTTAACGGCAAAAGATTTCCATTCCATTACTTTAAAAATGTTGCAACTGCTAACAGACTGTAATTTTATAGTTTTGAGACTTGTAACAAACAACTTTTCTGGAAATGTTGGCCTTTTCAAAAAACTTGGCAATGGATGTCATCAAAATTTATTCCACATTCCATTTCCACATTATTTTTGAGTTTTGACTTTGTGTATGTAGTAAAAAATGCCTGAAGTATTTTCCTTGATCACGATATGGGTTCATCAGAAGGGATAATTTCTGCAAAATATTTAAAATTATTGTTTGAGCTACAAAAATGTCTGCCAGTTAAACCTGTTAACCATTTGACCAAGAAGCATTTAATTCGCACAATTTTTGAGAAAATGTATGGGCGAAGAGCCATTCAAGTTTTTTCTCCATCGGTAACGGCAGCATTAAGATTCCTGAAAGAAGCAGGTGATGAACAATTTTCAGATTTTGATGCCACAATTTCTTATATGAAAATTATGTACCACTTTTTAAGGACATAATGTTTCAAGAAGGTACCAATACATTAACACTTTGGATAGTAGTGAGGCGCCTTTTGTCCACATTTCGGATGAACATCTTCACTGGTTGAATACCACCTTTCAAGAGTACGTTGCTGACATTCAGCAAAGTTCGACGACCTTAAATTTAAATGGGCTTACAAAAGAAACATCATATGCTTTAACATTTACGACCAAAAGCACCTACCTAAAATATTTACTGAATGAAGTCGAATTTTATTATGTGCTCACAAGATCATTCAGTTCTGATTGTGTTGAAACCATGTTCTCACATGTAAGATTAAAGGGAGGTTCCAACGACGCCACTGATGCCAGGGCAGCCGAATATGCTATGCGACAAATTTTGCGATGTGGCATAATTAAAGCTTCGACGTCCGTAAATGCAAGCTTCGTTAGCTCTGCTACTGTACCATCCCTACCTGCTATCTAGCTTCCCAATATAGAAAACGTACCTTTTGAGAATATGCAAAAAAAAAAAAAAAATAGGTTGTGATGATTGTATAACCCCGCTACTTACATTTACTGTGCCTGGTCCTTTATTACAACTTGTCAATATTCAGGATCGTGGAGGACTATTTTATCCCAGCTCTAGGTATGTTCGTTGGTATAGTTCAGAGGATTGCAGATATTGGACAAGAGGCATTAGAATTTATGGATATGCAAAACCCGTGCCACCAAATGGTCGAGATAATGCGCCCTCATTTGCTAGAAAATCCAATACTTTCGTCTTGTCTGCGAGCTGATAATAACTGCAACGTTGAAACCAGTTTTACATATAGATTTGTCAACAAGAAATTACCACCTAGGATTTTAACTTCTAGGAAAATTACGTTTTTCATGTTATTTGTAACTAGAATTATCAGAAATATTATTGTATCAACAAGAAATTACTCCCTAGGAATATTCGTGAACCATAAATTTGGTTAGGTTGGTTTGTAGTGACAAACAAAAGATATGGTAACTAGTGTCAAAAATTTATTAGTTTAAATCACCTGTTACCTTGTATGGATAACTTAATTGATAGTTGACAGCAGGTTGACAGAAAACGTCAACCGTCAACAACAAGGGGTAACCAACCCTAGGCATTCAAAATTACTTCTGAAAATTCTAGTTACAAACAACATGAAAAACGTAATTTTCCTAAAAATTCAAATCCTAGGTGGTAATTTCTTGTTGACAAATCGTTTTTATGTCTAATTAGGTTGGTTACCCCTTGTTGTTGTCGGTTGACGTTTTCTGTCAACTATCAATTAAATTATCCATAGGTACAAGCTGACAGATGTCTTAACCACGATGTAGTAAAGATGGTGGTTCGACTCTAACGCAAATTTGTCAACCACTTTGAATCCACCTATGTACTAGTTAAAGGGTATCCCGTCAGATGGTGCCACCGTCGACTCAAATTCAAGGCCATCTGAATCAACAAGCTACGCTTATAAGGCCGTTTCAATTTTCGATTTTTCCATATAAACTTTGTTTCTGTGACATTTCGGGCGTCAGTACCTTATTGCGCTCCATCTACCGATTTCCATCGCAGTCGATCGAGAGTTTTTAGACTTTTTATTTTTAGGTTAAGTGCTTAAAACATCAATTAAAACATGAATGCTATAAAATATCCAAGATCCGAGCTTATTTTAGGTACATTCTGGACTAGCAAAATACTAATAAATTAGAATTACAAT